TCTTTCCCTTCTTAACAACATCATGGCAGAGAGACCCCTTAAGTATTTACAAGGAAGGAGAACAACAGGAACTCTACAAAATGGTTAAATTTATTGACTATTTCCTAGTACAATTTATTTGAAAGTAGTCTGTTCCAGACACCAGTAAATTTAAAGTCTCCTTTCTAAAATCTGCAAGAAATAAAACAGATTCTGTAGCTTCTGTCATACATTTTCTGAAATTCATTGTCAAGGGGCTGATCCCCTCTGATTCTGTATATACTCTGGTGAAAGAAAATTTGTTTCTTTGGGCTTCCCTCTCTTCTCAGGGGGCCCTCTAGTGTTCTTATAACAATAATTCATTCCGTTCATCCCCTTGAGACTAATGTTCCTTATTTTGCCCTCAGAGCACATCATCAAGGATAGTGAGGTAATTTGCTGATTCTGCAATCAACAGTAAAGGCTTTCTTGACAAGAAGCGATCCTGGAACTTAGGGAAGGGATAAGATTTGCCTTCTACAACATTCATTATCAATTATCAAAGATTGTTTGACCTGGCAGCTCTTTTGCACAAAAGATGCCCTCCTACCTCTGGTCAAGAAAAAAAATTAAGTGATACTCTAATTTTTCTTGGTTTTGAAACACAACTCCATATGCAACAATGGTATGTGAGCTTCATCGACTGTCCATTTCCTAGTGACATTGATCAAGTGAGGATAACTGTTCTGGAAAACAGAACTACCATAGCTTCAACTGTAGCAAAATATAAAACTTTGGGCTCAGTAGGAAGATAACTGTATGAAATTTAAAGCCTGTGATACAGAGGAAGATGGACTAAATGAATATAAAGAAGATTTCTGAAAGTGATTCTATGAAACTATTGCTAATATTTGCATTAATCAAAAAACAGAAAGGAGAGCTCTTTTATGATCATTATCAGAGAATTCTAGAAATGCATGTGTTACATAGAATCTGGAATATATTTGAGAAAACAGAATGAATACGTGAAAACAATGTTTTTAAGCTGAGTCATCATTTCAGTCCATATTTTTCCTATACCGGCTTTCTTCTACAACAGGAATTCCACTGAGGAATAGAATTTCCCTGAAACACATTCATTCTGAAGGATGAATAGATTTCTAGAGTTCCACAGCTATATGTCTCCACATGCCTTTGACGGTAATGAAATATTACTGCATTTACCATACCTGGATAAGTGAGAACTACATAATGAAATTCTATCAAATAACCTTTACACTGACATGCATAATATATACCGCCCCTATTTTTAAATCAATTTAGGAATCTAACTCTCATTGATCTTTAAGTTTCTAGATTCTTTTGAGTGCCTAGGCAATAAAAAGCTGTTGGAATTCATTAATGACTGCTTATATAATAAAGAACTAATCAAAAAGTCCACATTTTTTTCTCTGATTCACTAAAATAAGGAAAATGAAGTTTTAAAACATGACACACAATGTCTCAGAACCCTGAGAACTGCTTGCTAATAACACTGTTTTTTGATGCTGTTTCTCAGACATGACTTAAAATGCTACTGGTGAAATCTACTGACGACACTTTACAAAATCACTGATTTAATATGCCAATTTTGGTCCAAGCCTATTAGAGAAACTCTCGGTTTTTAACTTTCCTGCATCATCTGCAAAGATGACACTGCCAGAGTATAGAGGTTTAAAGTTTGAAAAGCTTCATATCACAAATATTTTTCTCAGAAAATGAAGCATGTACAATGCAGTCACTATGAACTCCTTACTCGTGCAAAATCTCTGTACAGGTAATTATTACAGTATAAACACTCAACTTTAAAAGTGTCCCTATATCATTGCACTGAGCATTGCGTCCTTCAGTTTGTTTTGATCACCTTCCAAAAAACATTGGTAGACGCTGCCTTAGAAAAGCACCCAGTCTGCAGTGATTTGCTGTGCAGTAAACAGTACATTTAAGAAAAATGTTTCCAGAAGAGAAGGTGAAAATGATTTGCTTTCTTTTGCTTCATGTGGAATTTACTATCTCCAACATCTGTGGTATGTCAAGGTCATCAGAAAGGCAAGGAAAGAGGTTTTGTTTTTCATTTTAAAGGAACACTAGGGAACTATGAACAGCCTGGAAGATAAATGGTGAAAGGTTTAGTAATCTGATCAGAAACTCACTAAAGCAAGTGAAAAACACTTACTGAATTCAGTTAGCTTTCTGTTCTGTTACCAAGAAGAGAGAGATCGTTTCAGGTTAGTATTGCAAGAAGCATATTATAGGAGACTATTTTTAGGTTAATAGCATTTTAAATATTTCTGTTACCTAAGGAATATGCTAGGCCATTTATCTAGTTGCAAATAATTTTATTTTTATAACAACTGTTTATCAGGAAACAAAGGGTTAAATATAGTCTAATATAGTAATTAGGCTTCTCTTATCACTGATACAGCCTGAAGGAAGGTGCATGAACTCTGCTCTTCCTATTATCTCACTAAAAGGCATTCATATTAAGTTGATTATTTCAAATTAGTATTCTCAAACATTGTTGATAAACTCAGCCATAATGCTCTTGAAGAAAAATATCTATTGGCTTTCCAGTTGTTGCTAACCTTTATTTATTATATTTTGCTTCCTAGATTACATCCCATTAGTACCAATTAAATGTGTATGGATAGAGAACATCTGAAAAGGGTATGTATCCCAAAAATATAGTTTGTGCACTCTAATTCAGTCCTGAGGGAAGGAAACAGATTCTGTGACTGTAATATAGAACAAAGAAGAATAGGTTTGTTCCTGCTATGTGTTATTGATGTGAAGCAGCACAAATACATCTTTGGTCAGTAAATCCATGGAGTTCACAGGATCACAGACTCACAGAATAGTTGAGGTTGGAAGGGATGTCTGGATGTCATCTGGTCTAACCCCACACTCAAGCAGGGCCACTTAGAGCTGGTTGCCCAAGACCATGTCCAGATAGCTTTTGAATATCTCCTGGGATGGAGACTCTATCACCTCCCTGGGCAACCTGTGCCAGTGCTCAGCCACCCTTACAGTAAAACAGTGTTTTCTGATGTTCAGAGGGAACCTCCTGTGTTTCAGTCTGTGCCCATTGCCTCTGGTCCTGTCACTGGGCACCACTGAAAATAGCCTGGCTCTGTCCTCTCTGCACCTTTCCTTCAGGTATTTTTGTATATTGATAAGATGCCCTCAAGCCTTCTCTTCTCTAGGCTGAACAGCCCCAGCTCTCTCAGTGTTTCCTCATAGGAGAGATACTCCAGTCCCTTAATCATCTTTGTGGCCTTTCGATAGACTCTCTCCAGTATGTCCACATCTCTCTTGTACTGGAAAGCCCGGCACTGGATACAGTACTTCAAGTGTGTCTCACCAATGCTGAAAAGAGGGAAAAGATTGCCTCCCTCAGCCTGCCGGTAACACACCTAATGCAGCCTAGGGTACAGTTAATCCTCTTTGGCAGAAGAGAACATTGCCAGCTCATGTTCACCTTGGTGTCCACCAAGACTCCCTCGTCCTTTCCTGCAAAGCTGCAAGTTTTGCATCCAGTGACAACGAAGATACTAGACCATGCAGCATTCCATTCATGCATATGTCTCTGTGTCCCAGATGATACACAAGTAGTTTTTAACCAAACCAAGGCAAAGCTCAGAGCATCAACTCAGTTATTGTATTGAGCTTCTCTCTCCTCAGGTCTCACAAATATCTGTGTATTGTGACATTCTGAGATGAAACAGTCTCCAGACCCTCAGGCTAGGTAAAATATGTAGGTGTAGGTAAAATATCAAGGTAGGGGAAACATAGGTGAAATATAAAATTAATACTGGAATAACAGCAGCTCTCAATCACAATATGAAGAGATAATATTCACTTTGCTGATGTAAGTGTGATTTAAGTATGACTTTATAGGTAGGCAGTAGTTTTGAATATGTCCAGAGACTCTTTGACGTATTTATGTTTTCTAAGGCACTGATCATCCACAAAGAGACTAGCAAGATATGTGTGTAATAAAAGCATGTTATGGTTTAGAAAACTGATAGTACTTAAAATATCCAAACGACAAATAAATAGTAAACAAAACTGTTCAGAAACATTTGAGAATCACATTATCCAAAATGGCAAATGTCAAGACCTCAATTTCAAAGGAATAAATTTAGGAAAGCATAAATTCTTATATGAGTGAATTTTGAAATTAACAAAATACGGATGTTAACCAAATGAGTACAATTTTCAGCATTGTTCAAGCTCCTGGTGAAACTGCATGCTTGATGCTAGAGTGACAGTTTGTGATTTAACGAGAGGTTG